ATAGTAGTACCAACACTCTTATATGGGTGTGAAGCTTGGGTGGTAAATGCAGCAGCGAGGAGACGGTTGGAGGCAGCGGAGATGTCCTGTTTAAGGGCAATGTGTGGTGTAAATATTATGCAGAAAATTCGGAGTGTGGAAATTAGGAGAAGGTGTGGAGTTAATAAAAGTATTAGTCAGAGGGCAGAAGAGGGGTTGTTGAGGTGGTTTGGTCATTTAGAGAGAATGGATCACAGTAGAATGACATGGAAAGCATATAAATCTATAGGGGAAGGAAGGCGGGGTAGGGGTCGTCCTCGAAAGGGTTGGAGAGAGGGGGTAAAGGAGGTTTTGTGGGTAAGGGGCTTGGACTTCCAGCAAGCGTGCGTGAGCGTGTTAGATAGGAGTGAATGGAGACGAATGGTACTTGGGACCTGACGATCTGTTGGAGTGTGAGCAGGGTAATATTTAGTGAAGGGATTCAGGGAAACCGGTTATTTTCATATAGTCGGACTTGAGTCCTGGAAATGGGAAGTACAATGCCTGCACTTTAAAGGAGGGGTTTGGGATATTGGCAGTTTGGAGGGATATGTTGTGTATCTTTATATGTTTATGCTTCTAGACTGTTGTATTCTGAGCACCTCTGCAAAAACAGTGATAATGTGCGAGTGTGGTGAAAGTGTTGAATGATGATGAAAGTATTTTCTTTTTGGGGATTTTCTTTCTTTTTTGGGTCACCCTGCCTCGGTGGGAGACGGCCGACTTGTTGAAAAAAAAAAAAAAAAAAAACAATTAACCCATTCCAGACACCCAAAAATAATAAAAAAATACATTTTATAAAGATTAATTATAGTTCTACATACACAAAACAATGAGAACTAAATAAAATATCTAAATAAATGAACATATAAAATACTACAGTATTACATATGTTTATTGAAGACTCTTGTTGGCTCATGGAAGACTGGGAGGAAGAGAGAGGGAGGACTGATTATTGTTTAGAAGGGGAATCCCCCTCCATAAGGACTTCAGGTATCAAAGCCCTCTGGCATTACTTCCCTCCCTGTCTGCTACACTCTCTCCATGCTACACTCCCTGTTTCCCTGCTACACTCCCTGCCATACTCTGCTATGCTCCTTGCCTCCCTATGCTCCCTGCATGCCTGCTCCACTCCCTTTTGCAACATTAGTCTTGATTTATACTTTCTTTGCCAGGGTGGAAGTGATTGTTGATTTGGATTTCCCATACATCCTGGCAAGTTCTAGCACTCAAACACCACTCTCATTTTTCAATAGTCTTTCTTTATCAAAGGGCTGGCACTCTGAACTTTCTTTGGGCCCATGGTGGCTTATTTCACAACTGCACTTAATAAAGAAGCACAAAAGCCATAGATTTTATAGAAATGTTTGGATGAATGCGTGGAATATATGCTCATTCACCAAGAGACACAGAGAGACTGATTCACCTACGCATGGCGTCCTGGCAGGAGGCAAGCTGACACGTATTGATATGGACAATTTACAAGGCACTGGCCGAAATACAGAGCAAAATTTCAGCCCAAAATCTAGCCTAAATACAAATCGGCCGATATACATAGCAGCCAATATTCGGGGTTCCACTGTAGAAGTTTATCAAATAAACCAATGCATAATATATATATATATATAGTCACAGTATATTTTAACCTTGAGTGTGCAAATAGAGGGAAGCAGATTTATATATCTTGATAGAGACCAACTCAATTTATTTATGAACATTATTACCAGTATCCTTACAATTTAACTTTGATGATGCAGTGATGCACAATTTATAAACAGGTATAAACATCATCTCCTTGGGGAAGAAAAGAATTTTGCCTCTGTAAGCCACGCATGTTGTAAAAGGTGACTAAAATGCTGGGAGCAGGGGCTGGTAACCCCTTCTGTATAAATTACTAAATTTAAAAAGAAAAATTGATGTTTTTCTTTTTAGGTCACTGCCTCGGTGGGATACAGCTGGTTCGTTGAAAAAAAAAATTAGAATAATATTTCCTTACTGGATACAACACTAAGTGTTGACTGCTGATACACTGAAAACTTTATTTATTCCCATCTGTAAGTCTTGAAAATTCACTCCATCATATACCTGGGGTTAAGTAAGAATCTGATTATTTGAGTGTAAATTATACCTCTTTCTCAATCATTCATTACCTTTGTACCTTGTTCAGCTATCAAAACTTTGGTGCCCAGTCCATGGACCCATTATGTACCTCTGTAATCTGTAAATACTTTTGTAACTAGTCATGATTGTGACTAGATCTACCTGGAGTTCTTTACCTTTGTAACTTACTCAGCTATCAAAATTTTGGGGCCCAGTCCCAGGACCCATTATGTACCTCTGTAATCTTTTGACTACCGCCCACAGGATGGGTATGGGGTGCATAATAAATGTATTAAACTAAACTAACTGTCTTATTATAAGTTGATCCAGGCCATAAGTAAAATAGTAAAATAATTAAAATGATGTTTACTGTACTATGACTTTCACTGCTAACATAACTGAAAATCTAAAAGGCTTTCTATGATTAGTAATACTGTATTGCTCTATTAAGAATACAACTCAATTAGGTAGAAATTATCATTATTCTTATATTTATAATAAAGCACCAGTTCATCTAAGGTAACTACTGTACTGATATCATTATTTTTTTTTATTAACACATCAGCCAATTCCCACCAAAGCAGGGTGGCACAAAAAAGAAACTTCCATCATCATTCACTCCATCACTGTCTTGCCAGAGAGGTACTTTACACTAGAGTTTATAAAACTGCAATATTAACACCCCTCCTTCAGAGTGCAGACACTGTACTTCCCATCTCCAGGACTCAAGTAGGGCCTGCCAGTTTCCCTGAATACCTTCATAAATGTTACTTTGCTCACACTCCAACAGCACATCAAGTATTAACCCTTTGAGGGTTTCGGCCGTACTAGTACGGCTTACGACCCAGGGTTTTTGACGTACTAGTACGCCTAAATTCTAGCACCCTCAAATCTAGTGGGAGAAAGCTGGGAGGCATACATATGAAAGAATGGGTCTATGTGGTCAGTGTGTGCAGTATAAAAAAAATCCTGCAGCACACAGTGCATAATGAGAAAAAAAAACTTTCACCGTGTCTTTGGAATAAAACAGCGACTTTGCACTGTATTTTCGTATGGTATTTATTATTGTATTCTAGTTTTCTTGGTCTCATTTTATAGAATGGAAGACATATTACAGAAATTGAGATGATTTTGACTGGTTTTACAATGAAAAGTACCTTGAAATTGAGTTCAAAGTAGCAGAAATGTTCGATTTTTACCAAAGTTCAAAAGTAAACAAATCATGCCAAGCATCCAATACACGTCAACTGGTGAGTCTAATATTCTTTCACAAGTGTGCTGATATTATTTATACCATTCTTACACTAATGCAGTAGTCTGCATAACAGTAAATCTTCGATTTTTTGTAAGAATAAAAATTGAAAGTGGAAAGCCAAAGAAATATAAGAGGGGCCTGGGGATGTGACTAACAAACAGAGGAAATGTTACTTTAGTGCCAGGAATGTCTTTCTTGTTTATTCTGGACCCTATTTGGAAATTGGCATCTTTTGAAATTTGTGTGAAATTGGCAAAATTGCTAAATTCTGACCACTGTATTGTATAGTTGAAATCAGTAAATGGGTGGTTTCTTGTACTCATTCAATAGAAAAAATGGAGTTCTAGAGAAATAGTTATGATTTTTGTCGACTAGTACACAGGAATTGGCCAAAAATAGGGCTCAAATTGGGCAAAATCGCCAATGCGTAAACATCGCCGAGACCGGTAACTTCACAAGAGCATAATTCCCTAAGTTTTCCACCAAATTTCATACTTTTGATGTCATTATGAACAGGAAAAGATTCTCTATCTTTTCATAAGAAAACATAATATTTTTTTTTTTTAAATTTGGCCGACCCTGAAAACAAGTCTCGGAGAGGGCCTGTCGACCCTCAAAGGGTTAAAAACCATTTGTCTCCATTCACTCCTATCAAATACGCTCGTGCATCCTTGCTGGAAGTTCAAGCCCCTCACACACAAAACCTCCTGTATCCCTTCCCTCCAACCTTTCCAAGGCCGACCCCTACCCCGCCTTCCCTCCACTACAGATTTATGCACTCTCGAAGTTATTCTGTTTCGTTCCATTCTCTCTATATGTTCGAACCACCTCAACAACCCTTCCTCAGCCCTCTGGACTGAGGAAGGTGTCTCAGTTTTGGCAATCCCGCACCTCCTCCTAACTTCCAAACTACGAATTCTCTGCATTATATTCACACCACACATTGCCCTCAGACATGACATCTCCACTGCCTCCAGCCTTCTCCTCACTGCCACAGTCATCACCCATGTGAAACATCTCCAGAACTGCTACTAGCTCACTCTAATATCTATATAATGGACCTTGTCCATAAATAATACATTAACCCCATGATTGCAAAACTAAATGCATTACAGAACAATATACAGGAGGTCCCTGCTCATACAGCAGGTTAATTTCTGGGCTTTTGATGTAAAGTGAAAATCACTGTAAAGTGTCAAATGCATATAAAAGCCTCATAACATGTTTACACTATCATATATTAAGTGAGCAATAGAACTAGACCTACAAAATGCATACACAGTACACACATTGCTTATTTTAAAATATTTTTGCTCTTAGTGAGTGAGCTCATCGATTTTTTATTTTTATAGAAAACAGATATACTAGTTAGCAACTAATGACAATGCTGTACAGCAAACCCTTGTTATAATAGCCCAATAGTGGAGAGCAGGTAGCAGGTACTGACAATTATGGTGGATAGAGAAAAGATGGTTTTGTCATGATAAAATCACACTAATGGACAATTCTACAACCGCCAGACTTCGTCCAGTTTCTGAAATGAGTGACTCAGTGCATTTTGAGGGTTTATCAATGACAACTTTTACTCACTGTATGGATGAACTTTGGTCACTTCATTCATACTTACCCAAAGTTGTTCCAGAACTTCCTGATAGCATGTAAAATATTTAAGACAAAAAACATAAAACAGTATGCACTGTACATAGCATTTACAAAAATCACACTATACAGAGCAACTTTATAAGAGAGCTGTTTTCAGTATGTCTAGTGTTATAAAGAAATTGTATTGTTTGAATATATAAATAATTAGAAAGAGTGAATTGATACCACTGTGTACCTGACCAACCGGGCTGTGGCTCGTACGTCAGTTTGTGTGCGGCCAGCAGTAACAGCCTGGTTGATCAGACCCTGATTCACCACGAGGCCTGGTTTCAGACCGAACCACGGGGGCATTGACCCTTGAAACCCACTCCAGGTAAACTTCAGGTAATATTATGATGACTGTGCATCATATTAAAACAGAGAAATTGGGAGAATGTAGACTTTGTCAAGAAAATTATTTTACCAGGAGCCTGCACATGCTTCAAGAATGTGCCCTACTAGCCTAGTTAGTTTCCAGCTATTTGTTGACACTGCAGTGTTATTCTGCTAATCCACTAGAACTGAAGGTACAATATGCAAACATTTTCTCTGTTTTCTTGTACAATATACTTAATACTTGCTGAATTTGTGTAATCACACTCTTCTGTGAGAGTAGATGTGTATATAGAACATTCAGAGCCAGCTGCTTACTAAAAACTGATCACATCATCTCAATTTTTGCTTGTATTTGATAAAACATTCAATGGCACCTCTGTATGTATGCTCAAATTGTTAATAAATAAATAAATAAATAAATAAATAAATAAATGGTGTCGCATCAGAAATGTTAAAGTGGGGTATATATACAGGTCAGCCATCACTGATCCTGCAGTCACTAATTCGGTCCCATCACTAATCCAGCACTAATTTTGGCTAGCGTAATTTCAAATTTTCCAGGTCTCCTCACCAACCTGCTGCCACTTGCTGCATAAACACTGTTGATGTCATTTGCAAACATAGGTATGCCATTCCAATTTGCTTTTATGAATTTGCAGTGTATTTTCGTGTGGTTCTTACGGTTGTAGTCTTGGTTTTTTGGTTTCAATTGATAGAATGGAAGATAAATTACATAAAGATAAATTTGATTGATTTCAGGATGGAAAGTACCTTGAAAATGAGCTCAAAGTAGTGGAAATGTTCGATTTTTGCAGATGCTCAAGAGCAAACAAATCACATCACGTGTCCAACTGGCCGGTCTAATATGCAATCATGAATGGGTTGACATTATTTACACAATTATTACAATAATACAGTAGTTTGCCTAACAGTAAATCTTCAATTTTTTTAAACTGGCATCCCTTGAAATTTGTGTAAAATTGGCCAAATTATCAATTTCTGATCACTTTATCGAGTACTTGAAGAAGATAAATGGGTGGTTTCTTGTACTCAACTGACAGGTAGAAGGAATACTAGCAAAATACTAGCTATGAGTTTAGTCGACTGGAACAATGGAATTGGCCAAAAATGGGCCGTAGGTGGGCAAAATCGGCAATGCATAAATATTGCCAAGACCACTAACTTTGCGAGAGCATAATTCCTAAGTTTTCCACCAAATTTCGTACTTTTGGTTTCATTACCTTCGGAAAAAGATTCTCTATCATTTCATAAGATAAAAAAATTTTTTTTTTTTAAATCTTCAACACTGGGAGCAAGTCTGCGAGCAGGGGTCGTAACAATGAAAGGGTTAACCAACTTGTACTGATTTATGGAGTATTTTAAAGGTAGCCTGAGGTAGTTAGCTGTTAAGTGTATTCTAACCTAACCACTCTAATCTGGCAAAATCACTAATCCAGCACCCTACAGGTCTTGATGATGCCAGATTAGTGATGGTCAATCTGTATAATGCAATATAACTATACAGTATTACCTACCAATGCTTTTCTCACACGACTAAATGAACAAAAACTGAAATCCTACCCCCAAAATATGAAGTTTTGCATAGATGATGAAGAAGACAAAGACGAAAGAGAAGAAAGAATAAGAAAAAGAAAAAAGAAAAAGAAGTGTAATTTGTGGTGGGAATATCAAGCAAAGAAATCATTTTTAATGCGTTGGCCATTTTCCACCGAGGCAGGGTGACCCAAAAAGAAAGAAAAACCCAAAAAGAAAGAAAAAACCTTCATCATCATTCAACACTTTCACCATCAGTCACACATAATCACTGTTTTTGCAGAGGCACTCAGCTACAACAGTTTAGATGTTCCTCCAAACTGGCAAAATCCCAAACCCCTCCTTTAAAGAGCAGGCATTGTGCTTCCCATTTCCAGGACTCAAGTCCGGCTAACCAGTTTCCATGTATCCCTTCACAAAATATTACCCTGCTCACCCTCCTACAGCTCGTCAAGTCCCAAAAACTATTCGTCTCCATTCACTCCTAACACACTCATGCACGCTTGCTGGAAGCCCAAGCCCCTCACCCAGAAAACCTCCTTTACCTCTCTCCCTCCAACCTTTTCGGGTGGGGATGACCCCTACCTCGTCTTCCTTCCCCTACAGATTTATAGCCTCTCGAAGTCATTCTGCTTTGTTCCATTCTCTCTAAATAACCAAACCACCTCAACAGCCCCTCTTCAGCCCTCTGACTAATACTTTTAGTATCTCCACACCTCCTAATTTCCACACTACAAATTCTCTACATAATATGTATTTACACCACACACTACCCTTAGACAGGACATCTCCACTGCCTCCAGCTGCCTCCTCACTGCAGCATTTACAACCCATGTTTCACACTCACATAAAAGTGTTGGTACAATACCACTATACTCTCATACATTCCCTTCTTTGCCTCCATGAATAACAGTTTTTCTCTTCACATTTTGTCTCAATATGTTATACAGATTCATATGAAAGCCCCAAGTTGTACAGAACATTTTAAGCAGCCTTCAAGTGAGCTTAAAACTGCAACAGTAAGTCCTTACTTGTAAGATTTTGAAGTGGTTTTTCTCCAATTTTTGTCCCAAGCTGAAACTACTGTGCGGGAAGAATTTTCATAAGATAAATCCCAAACATCAGTTTCCTGAAGTGGTGTCTTATAACCCCTCCAAAATAAGCTATCCATCCAGGAGAACGTTATTCGACTGAGGAATGATGCACCAGACTCTGGACATGGCCTCTGTTGAAAAAAAAAATAATATTGGGAGGATGAAAAAGTAATGTAGAACATGGGGAGTTCAAGACCTTAATTAATAACATCTGGTATTTAATAATACCTATTCAACAGTCACTGCATAAACTATGAGTACAGTACAAATTTTGTATTATGATAACTTTAAAAATAATCCTAATAATTTGTTCTTTCTATAAAAGTTGTAGCAGTTTGCACTAATTTCCTGCAGTACAATGGTCCTTTGAGTTACGATATCAAGCCAGTCCAGAAGACGTACATTAAAATTATGGTAACTCAAACCCCAAAATGCATGGTTTTATGGCAATTTGTTCCAAGAGCCTGGAAGTGCAACTTTTACTGTACCTTGGGCTTGAGGAGTTGGAAGTGTTGGTTGGGAGGAATTTAACTGCAACAAAGTTAAATTCTGCCTCCAGAGATTGGGAAAGTTCTGGCTCATGTCCTGATGCAGGGCAGGCAGACCACAGCAGACAGTGCAGGCCAGGGCAGGAAGATCTGGCAGAGCAGGGTAGGCCAGGACAGGCAGGCAATACAGGCAAAGTAGGCAGGGTAGGTAGAATAAGGTAGTGCAGGCAGAGGAGGCAGGGCATGACAGGGTTGGGCAGGTAGGGTAAGGCAGGGATAAACATGCAGGGCAGGGCAGGCATGGACAGGCAGGGAAGGAAAGGGCAGGGTAGACCTGGCATTGGCAGGCAAAGAAGGCCAGGGTAAGGTAGGTAAGGTAGGCAGGGGAAGGCAGGCAAGGCATTGCAAGGCAGGGCAGGGTAGGGAAGGGCAGGGCAGGGCAGCCAGACTGGTGAAGAATTGTAGACTTAACATTCAATATTGACACTTTTTGTTGTTGCAGTCTCCTGCCACCCATGTCTGGTTCTGGTACACTTACAATCTCCCTCCCTCCTCTGCCTGCCTTCCTCCCTTCAACCCTCCCTCACTACCCCTGCCCCCTATGCCTCCCACATATCTTGTCCTGTCTCAGGCCTGAGGCCCACCCAAGCATGCCGACCATCATTCGCATGTTGTATCTCAAATTTTTCATCACAACTTAAAACTAAATTCCTTTATGAGGTTAAATCGTAACTACATTATACGTTTCTATTAGTAATTAAGAAATGTTTGCAATCAGAAATGTGAGATAATCAGTTGTTCTATCACTAATGTTTATATTGGTCTAGATATGATTTACTGATACAGCAATGGTCTCACCAACTCATCAGTATGTGTGTATTACCTGGAGTTTACCTGAAGAGAGTTCTGGGGGTCAACGCCCCCGCGGCCCAGTCTGTGACCAGGCCTCATGGTGGATCAGAGCCTGATCAACCAGGCTGTTACTGCTGGCTGCATGCAATCCAACGTACGAGCCACAGCCTGGCTGGTCAGGTACCGACTTTAGGTGCTTGTCTATAGACCCCTGGCTTGAAGACAGCCAGGGGTCTATTGGCAATCCCCCTTATGTATGCTGGGAGGCAGTTGAACAGTCTCGGGCCCCTGACACTTACTGTATTGTCTCTTAACGTGCTAGTGACACCCCTGCTTTTTATCGGGGGGACGTTGCATCTTCTGCCGAGTCTTTTTCTTTCGTTGTGAGTGATTTTTGTGTGCAAGTTCAGTACTAGTCCCTCTAGGATTTTCCAGGTGTATATACAGTGGACCCCCGACATACGATATTAATCCGTCCCTGAGAGCTCATCTTATGCCAAAATTATCGTAAGGCGAATTAATTTTCCCCATAAGAAATAATGGAAATCAAATTAATCCGTGCAAGACACCCAAAAGTATGAAAAAAAAAAATTTTTACCACATGAAATATTAAGTTTAATGCACACAAACTGAAGAAGACATGCACAGTTAGTAGTACTCTTCTAACAATAGAATACATGACACTTACCTTTAATGAAAATCTGGTGATGATTGATGGGATGGGAGGAGGGGAGAGTGTTGAACTTATTGTTTAGAAGGGAAATCCCCTTCCATTAGGACTTGAGGTATCAAGTCCTTTTCTGGGGTTACTTCCCTTCTTCTTTTAATGCCACTAAGACCAGCTTGAGTCACTGGACCTCTGTCGCACAACATATCTGTCCATAGAACTCTGTACCTCTTGTTCCTTTATGATTTGTCTAAAGTGGTTCACAACGTTGTCACTGTAATAGTCACCAGCACGGCTTGCAACAGCTATGTGAGGGTGATTTTTATCCAAAAAGGTTTGCACTTCAAGTCACTTTGCACACATTTCCTTAATTTCTTTTTTCAATTCCATACTAATTCTCACCCTTTTTACCACAGGGATGGCACTAGAAGCCTTCTTGGGGTCCATTGTGACTTATTTTGTAGTTACAAGCGCTAAAAACACTGAGATAATGTGAAATGTACCGAATGTATGCATAGATGCGACTGCACTGGCTGGCTTGTGAACACTGGCGCTGAGGCTACACGTGGGACGCGTCCCAAACGAATCGCATGAGGCGAGTTTTTTAACGTGAGGAGAGGCAAAATTTTTTGCATTAAAATGTATCGTATGCCGGATTTAACATAATGCGATGCCATCATATGCTGGGAGTCCACTGTAATCATGTACCTCTCCCGCCTGCATTCCAAGGAGTACAGGTTAAGGAACTTCAAGTGCTCCCAGTAATTGAGGTGTTTTATCTCAGTTATGCACGCCATGAAGGTTCTCTGTGCATTTTCTAGGTCAGCAATTTCACTTGACTTGAAAGGTGCTGTTAGTGTGCAGCAATATTCCAGCCTAGATAGGATAAGTGACCTGAAGAGTGTCATCATGGGCTTGGCCTCCCTAGTTTTGAAGGTTCTCACTATCCATCCTGTCATTTTTCTAGCAGATGCGATTGATACAATGTTAAGGTCCTTGAAGGTGAGATCCTCCGACATGATCACTCCCAGGTCTTTGACGTTGGTCTTTTGCTCTATTTTGTGGCCGGAATTTGTTTTGTACTCTGATGAAGTTTTAATTTCCTCATGTTTACCATATCGAAGCAATTGAAATTTCTCATCGTTGAACTTCACATTGTTTTCTGCAGCCCACTGAAAGATTTGGTTGATGTCTGCCTGGAGTCTTGCAGTGTCTGCAATGGAAGACACTGTCATGCAGATTCAGGCGTCATCTGCAAAGGAAGACATGGTGCTGTGGCTGACATCCTTGTCTGTCAGATATGAGGATGAGAAACAAGATGGGAGCGAGTACTGTGCCTTGTGGAACAGAGCTTTTCACTGTAGCCGCTTCAGACTTTACTCTGTTGACTACTACTCTGTGTTCTGTTTGTGAGGAAATTACAGATCCATCTACCAACTTTTCCTGTTATTCCTTTAGCATGCATTTTGTGCGCTATTACGCCATAGTCACACTTGTCGAAGGCTTTTGCAAAGTCTCTATATATTATATCTTCATTCTTTTTGTCTTCTAGTGCATCTAGGACCTTGTCATAGTGATCTAGTAGTTGGGACAGACAGGAGCAACCTGTTCTAAACCCATGTTGCCCTGGGTTGTGTAACTGATGGGTATCTAGATGGGTGGCGATCTTGCTTCTTAGAACCTTTTCAAAGGTTTTTATGATATGGGATGTTAGTGCTATCAGTCCGTAGTCCTTTGCTGTTGCTGTACTGCCCCTGTGGACTGGGGTTATGTCTGTTGTTTTTAGTAACTGTGGGATGACCCCCGTGTCCATGCTCCCTCTCCATAGGATGGTAAAAGCATGTGATAGGGGCTTCTTGCAGTTCTTGATGAACACGGAGTTCCACGAGTCTGGCCCTGGGGCAGAGTGCATGGGCAGGTCATTTATCGCCTGTTCGAAGTCATTTGGTGTCAGGATAACATCAGATAGGCTTGTGTTTACCAAATTCTGTGGCTCTCTCATAAAAAATTAATTTACATCTTCGACTCTCAGTCTGGTTAGCGGCTTGCTAAAAACTGTCATATTGGGATTTTAGTAGCTCACTCATTTCCTTGCTGTCATCTGTAAAGGACCTATCTTGTTTAAGTAGGGGCCCAATACTGGATGTTGTTCTTGATTTTGATTTGGCGTAAGAAAAGAAATATTTTGGGTTTCTTTCGATTTCTTGTATGGCTTTTAGTTCTTCCCGCAATTCCTGACACCTATATGATTCCTTTAGCTTTAGTTCGATGTTTGCTTTTTCTCTGACCAGTGTCTCCCTACGCATTTCAGATATACTGGCCTCTTTTAGCCGCTCTGTTATTCTTTTCCGTTGCCTGTAAAGGGAGCGCCTGTCTCTTTCTATTTTACATCTACTCGTCCTATTTCTTAAAGGAAATAAGCCTTGAGCATACATCGAGTGCCACAGAGTTAATCTGTTCTAGGCATAAATTGGGGTCTGTGTTGCTTAGGCTATCTTCCCAGCTTATATTGTTTAGGACTTGGTTTAGGACTTGAGTTTAATTTTTACAACAAATTTAACACAAAATAAAGAGCTTCAGCATTTAAGAAAAGAACAACAACAGATCTTTCATTATTACAAGATCCACAGGAATCTATTCTCCGCAAATAATAAAGGTTCGTAAAATAATAAGGGTTGTAAAAGTCAACTAAAATGCCGGGAACAATGGGCTAGTAACCCCTTTTCCTGTAATAATTACTAAAAAGAATAAGAAGAAGAAAATTGTCGAAGTGGGAAGTCTGAATGTGCGTGGATGTTGTGCAAATGATAAGAAAGAGATGATTGTGGATGTTATGAATGAGAAGAAGCTGGATGTCCTGGCTTTAAGTGAAACAAAGCTGAAGGGGGTGGGAGAGTTTCAGTGGAGAGGAATAAATGGGATTAAGTCAGGGGTTTCAAATAGAGTTAGAGCTAAAGAAGGAGTAGCAATAATGTTGAAGGATAAGTTATGGCAGGAAAAGAGAGACTACAAATGTATTAATTCAAGGATTATGTGGAGTAAAATAAAGGTTGGATAAGGAAGGATAAGTTATGGCAGGAAAAGAGGGACTACAAATGTATTAATTCAAGGATTATATGGAGTAAAATAAAGGTTGGATGTGAAAAGTGGGTTATAATAAGTGTATATGCACCTGGAGAAGAGAGAAGTGTAGAGGAGTGAGATGTTGGGAAATGTTAAGTGAACGCATGGGGAGTTTTGAACCAAGTGTGAGAGTAATGGTGGTTGGGGATTTCAATGCTAAAGTAGGCAAAAATGTGGAGGGAGAGTAGGTAAATTTGGGGTGCCAGAGGTAAATGAAAATGGGGAGCCTTTAATTGAGCTATATGTAGAAAGAGGTTTGGTAATAAGTAATACATATTTTATGAAGAACAGGATAAATAAATATACAAGGAATGATATAGCATGTAATCAAAGTAGTTTGTTAGATTATGAATTGATGGATAAAAGATTGAGGGTAGGCTCCAGAATGTACACGTTTATAGAGAGGCAACTGATATATCGGATCATTATTTAGTTGTAGCTACAGTTAAAGTAAGAGGGAGATGTGAAAAGAGGAAAATGGCAACAACAAGCAAGAAGGAGGTGAAAGTGTATAGACTAAGGGAGGAGAAAGTTCAGGTGAGATATAAGCAACTATTGGCAGAAAGGTGGGCTGGTGCAAGTATGAGTAGTGGGGGGGTTGGAATAGTTTAAAAATGCAATATTAGAATGTGGGGCAGAAGTTTGTGGTTATAGGAGGGTGGGGGCAGGAGGAAAGAGGAGTAATTGGTGGAATGATGAAGTAAAGGGTGTGATAAAAGAGAAAAAGTTAGCTTATGAGAGGTTTTTACAAAGCAGAAGTGTTATAAGAAGAGTAGAGTATATGGAGAGTAAAAGCAAGGTGAAGAGAGTGGTGAGAGAGTGCAAAAGGAGAGCAGATGATAGAGTGGGAGAGGCACTGTCAAGGAATTTTAATGAAAATAAGAAAAAATTTTGGAGTGAGTAAAACAAGTTAAGAAAGTCTAGAGAACGAATGGATTTGTCAGTTAAAAACAGAGTAGGGGAGTTAGTAGATGGGGAGATGGAGGTTTTGGGTAGATGGCGAGAATATTTTGAGGAACTTTTAAATGTCGACAAAGAAAGGGAAGTGGTAACTTCATGCACTGGCCAGGGAGGTATACCATCTTTTAGGAGTGAAGAAGAACAGGATGCGAGTGTGGGGGAGGTGCGTGAGGCATTATGTAGAATGAAAGGGGGTGAAGCAACTGGAACTGATGGGATCATGACAGAAATGTTAAAAGCGAGGGGATGGGGGTGGGCATATAGTGTTGGAGTGGTTAGTATTTTTGTTTAATAAATGTATGAAAGAGGGGAAGGTACCTAGGGATTGGAAGAGAGCATGTTTAGACCCTTTATATAAAGGGAAGGGGGACAAAAGAGACTGTAAAAATTATAGAGGAATAAGTTTCCTGAGTATACCTGGTAAAGTGTATGGTAGAGTTATTATCGAAAGAATTAAGAGTAAGACGGAGAGGAGAATAGGATAGCAGATGAACAAGGAGGCTTTAGGAAAGGTAGGGGGTGTGTGGACCAGGTGTTTACAGTGAAACACATAAGTGAACAGTATTTAGATAAGGCTAAAGAGGTCTTTGTGGCATTTATGGATTTGGAAAAGGCTTATGACAGGGTGGATAGGGGGACAATGTGGCAGATGTTGCAGGTGTATGGTGTAGGAGGTAGGTTACTGAAAGCAGTGAACAGTTTTTACGAGGATAGTGAGGCTCAAGTTAGAGTATGTAGGAAAGAGGGAAATTATTTCCCAGTAAAAGTAGGCCTTAGACAAGGATGTGTGATGTCACCGTGGTTGTTTAATATATTTATAGATGGGGTTGTAAGAGAAGTAAATGCGAGGGTCTTGGCAAGAGGTGTGGAGTTAAAAGATAAAGAATCACACATAAAGTGGGAGATGTCACAGTTGCTCTTTGCTGATGACACTGTGCTCTTGGGAGATTCTGAAGAGAAGTTGCAGAGATTGGTGGATGAATTTGGTAGGGTATGCAAAAGAAGAAAATTAAAAGTGAATACAGGAATGAGTAAGGTTATGAGGATAACAAAAAGATTAGGTGATGAAAGATTGGATATCAGATTGGAGGGAGAGAGTATGGAGGAGGTGAATGTATTCAGATAATTGGGAGTGGACGTGTCAGCGGATGGGTCTATGAAAGATGAGGTGAATCATAGAATTGATGAGGGGAAAAGGGTGAGTGGTGCACTTAGGAGTCTGTGGAGACAAAGAAATTTGTCCTTGGAGGCAAAGAGGGGAATGTATGAGAGTATAGTTTTACCAACGCTCTTATATGGGTGTGAAGCATGGGTGATGAATGTTGCAGCGAGGAGAAGGCTGGAGGCAGTGGAGATGTCATGTCTGAGGGCAATGTGTGGTGTGAATATAATGCAGAGAATTCATAGTTTGGAAGTTAGGAGGAGGTGCGGGATTACCAAAACTGTTGTCCAGAGGGCTGAGGAAGGGTTGTTGAGGTGGTTCGGACATGTAGAGAGAATGGAGCAAAACAGAATGACTTCAAGAGTGTATCAGTCTGTAGTGGAAGGAAGGCGGGGTAGGGGTCGGCCTAGGAAAGGTTGGAGGGAGGGAGTAAAGGAGGTTTTGTGTGCGAGGGGCATGGACTTCCAGCAGGCATGCGTGAGCGTGTTTGATAGGAGTGAATGGAGACAAATGGTTTTTAATACTTGACGTGCTGTTGTAGTGTGAGCAAAGTAACATTTATGAAGAGGTACAGGGAAACCGGCAGGCTGGACTTGAGTCCTGGAGATGGGAAGTACAGTGCCTGCACTCTGAAGGAGGGGTGTTAATGTTGCAGTTTAAAAACTGTAGTGTAAAGCACCCTTCTGGCAAGACAGTGATGGAGTGAATGATGGTGAAAGTTTTTCTTTTTCGGGCCACCCTGCCTTGGTGGGAATCGCCCAGTGTGATAATAATAATAATAAAAAGTTTACTGAGTATACCAGGATTGCAGATGAGCAAAGAGGTTTCAGAGTGGGTAGAGGATGTGTAGATCAAGTGTTTACATTGAAGCATATATGTGAACAGTATTTAGATGAAGGTAGAGGAGTTTTTATCGCATTTATGGATTTAGAAAAGGTATATGATAGAGTGGATAGGGGAGCAATGTGGCAGATGTTGCAAGTACATGGAATAGGTGGTAAGTTACTAATTGCTGTAAAGAGTTTTTATGAGGATAGTGAGGCTCAGGTTAGGGTGTGCAGAAGAGAGGGAGACTACTTCCCAGTAAAAGTAGGTCTTAGACAGAGATGTGCAATATCACCAAAGTTGTTTAATATATTTATAGATGGGGTTGTAAAAGAAGTAAATGCTAGGGTGTTCAGGAAAGGGGTGGGATTAAATTATGGGGAATTAAATACAAAATGGGAATTGACACAGTTGCTTTTTGGTGATGATACTCTGCTTATGGGAGATTCTAAAAAAAAATTGCAAAGGTTAGTGGATGAGATTGGGAGCATGTGTAAAGGTAGAAAGTTGAAAGTGAACATAGAAAAGAGTAAGGTGATGAGGGTATCAAATGATTTAGATAAAGAAAAATTGGATATTAAATTGGGGAGGAGGAGTATGGAAGAAGTGAATGTTTTCAGATACAGTGGACCCCCGGTTAACGATATTTTTTCATTCCAGAAGTATGTTTAGGTGCCAGTACTGACCGAATTTGTTCCCATAAGGAATATTGTGAAGTAGATTAGTCCATTTCAGACCCACAAACATACACGTACAAACGCACTTACATAAATACACTTACATAATTGGTCGCATTGGGAGGAGATCGTTAAGCGGGAGTCCACTGTACTTGGGAGTTGACGTGTCGGCAGATGGATTTATGAAGGATGAGGTTAATCATAGAATTAATGAGGGAAAAAAGGTGAGTGGTGCATTGAGGTACAGTGAACCCCCGCTTAACGATCACCTCCCAATGCGACCTATTATGTAAGTGTATTTATGTAAGTGCGTTTGTACGTGTATGTTTGGGGGTCTGAAATGGACTAACCTACTTCACAATATTCCTTATGGGAACAAATTCGGTCAGTAATGGCCCCTGAACATACTTCTGGAATGAAAAAATATCGTTAACCGGGGGTCCACTGTATATGCGGAGACAAAAAACATTATCTATGAAGGCAAAGAAGGGAAAGTATGAAAGTATAGTAGTACCAACACTCTTATATGGGTGTGAAGCTTGGGTTGTGAATGCAGCAGCGAGGAGGCGGTTGGAGGCAGTGGAGATGTCCTGTCTAAGGGCAATGTGTGGTGTAAATATTATGCAGAAAATTCGGAGTGTGGAAATTAGGAGAAGGTGTGGAGTTAATAAAAGTATTAGTCAGAGGGCTAAAGAGGGGTTGTTAAGGTGGTTTGGTCATTTACAGAGAATGGATCAAAGTAGAATAACATGGAGAGCATTTAAATCTGTAGGAGAAGGAAGGCGGGGTAGGGGTCGTCCTCGAAAAGGTTGGAAGGAAGGGGTAAGGGAGGTTTTGTGGGCGAGGGACTTGGACTTCCAGCAGGCGTGCATGAGCGTGTTCGATAGGAGTGAATGGAGACGAATGGTATTTGGGACCTGACGATCTGTTGGAGTGTGAGCAGGGTAATATTTAGTGAAGGGATTCAGGGAAACCGGTTACTTTTATATAGCCAGACTTGAGTCCTGGAAATGAGAAGTACAATGCCTGCACTCTAAAGGAGGGTTCGAGATATTAGCAGTTTGGAGGGATATGTTGTGTATCTTTATACGTATATGCTTCTAAACTGTTGTGTTCTGAGCACCTCTGCAAAAACAGTGATTATGTGTGAGTGAGGTGAAAGTGTTGAATGATGATGAAAGTATTTTCATTTTGGGGATTTTCTTTTTGGGTCACCCTGCCTTGGTGGGAGACGGCCGACTTGTTAAAGAAAAAAAAAAATATATGAATGTAGTAAATAATAACTAACCTCTCCTCTTGAGTGGGCAACATACTGTGGCGTCGCATCACCAAAACAGTTGAAAATAAACATCGCTAGGACCAAAGGAAAGTATACCATAAAGGTACCAAAACTTAAGGTCCAGGTCTCAGTCACCTGTAATAGAAACAGCCATACAGTGCATTATAATGCAAGTATTATTCATAAAGAATAAAAAGGCACAATACTGTAAATAAGTACATACTGTAATAATCAAATACGTATTAAGGAAGTCATTATGTTGAGAATCTGTTTATATACTGTACACAGTACATATATCATGAAAGTGTTTCCTTCTATAGGTCACTCTCCTTTAGCAAATGTGGCCAAAAACAATACATGTTTAAAGATAGTTGGGAGTAGACCTGTTGGCAGATGGGAATATGAAAGAGGTAAACCATCAAAGAGAAGCTGGGAATGTAATGTACTGTTAGAATATTATGTAGAAAGTTCAAAGTGTAGAAATTAAAAGATGGTGTTGGGTCACCAATAATATAATCAGAGGGCTTAGGAGAGATTGCTTAAGTGGTTTGGGCCTTTTAAGGATGGAGAAGGATATAATGAGAAAGAGGGTGTATAAACCTAGTATGAAAAGTAGATGGTATAGGGGTTATCCCAGAAATGGCTGGAGTTAGATTCTAAGGGTATGGGAATCCAACATGATGGTGTGTATGAAGATTATGGTGAAAGGAGACAAGTAGTTTTTAACCCTTAAACTGTCCAAACATAGATCTACGTTCGCACGCGTGGTGCTCCAAACATAGATCTACGTTCACACGCGTGGTGCTCCAAACGTAGATCTACATTCGATTTTACATTATGTAAAAAAAAAAGTAGATCTACGTTCAGAGAGCTACGCGTGCAAATGTATAACTAAGCTTGGACAGTTTAAGGGTTAATGGACGTGCTGTTGGAGCGCAAGCAAGTATGAAGGGATTCAGGAAAACCACGTAGCCAGACTTGAGATCTGGAGGCGGAAAGCAAGAGTGCTTGCACTCTGCAGGAAGGGTGGGTATGTTGCAATCAGAGGGCAATCTGAGGTGTCATGTTTGCACAGTTTTGACAAGACAATGACTGAATGAATAATGGTGAATGTTTCCTTCTTTGGATCACTCTGCCTTGGTGGGAGATGGCTGCTGAAGAAAAAAATAAACAAGGAAAATAAAGGAATAAACAGGCAGATTACACAGACAGTAAACAGAATAAGAAACAAATTACTACAGTATACCAAAATAATATGCATTAAAGACTGGTTTAAAATGTAGTCAGGATTAGGGATCAGCAACGTATTAAAGAAAGCTTTTTATTTATAAATTAATGAAAATAGTATTGAAAATGTGGATATTAACCTGATGGTGGATATTGATGAAATAGCTACTATACTCAGGGATGGCACAAATCACAGCCAGAAACCAGAAGATGAAGAGGTAGCCCGAGCTCTGAATTCCTTGTTTTCTCTCCAGCAACACCCAGGCTGCCTGAAGTAACTATACCAAACAAGAAATCAAGTGTTAAATTTTTTTTAATATATAGTAGAGAATAATTTCAAGTAAAACTGAAACAAAAATAATAACTATTATTGTCTAAGTGGGTAGAAAAATAAAATTAAATGTCTAGGATCTTATTAGCTACAGGCCAAATAAAATTACATCTGAAAATAAGGCTACATACATTTCATTTTATATTTTGCAGATCTGCTGATGCTAATATTTCTATATCAGAATGAAGTTAAAACTGAAAATTCAAGTTTTTTTTTTCATTATTGTAAACATCTTGCCGGTTAAAGATGTTTCCTTTGATATTTGCAATTATCTGGCTCAAGATTACAATTTTTCGAAAGAGTTGGTCTTTATTTTCAAACAATATCTGAAAGCATCTTCTCTTTTCATATATCATTAGTGAATAAAATGAAATTTGGTCTTATTTTACTATTATTTAAAATGACTAATTCATAAACATTATGTCTTCAAGAGGTATTTGCATGTCAAATGTTACATTTTAATTTTGATTTTATTCTCATTACTAATACTGAAATCTGAAAAACAAAAATGACAGTAAAACATTAAATACAAAAAAGTCTCATCTAAATACAAATTTAAAGACAATGCACAAGGGTTTGAGTCCTGGAAGTTGAAGTAGAGTGCCTGCACTCTACTTCAAGGGGTGAGGATGTTACATTTAGCAAGGTAATCTGAACTGTACTATCAGTAAACTTCTGGCAAGGCAGTGATTGATGGAATGATGGTGAAAGTGTTTCCTCTCTTTTCAAATCAATCAAAAATCAAAATCTTTATTTCCTTGTAAAGCTTACAATGTGTGGTTTACATGTTATAAAATATTAATTACAAAGAAGGCCACTAGCATGCCTAGGCATTTTGGGCAGACTTTGGGTCACTACCTCAGTGGAAGACATCCAGTGTGTGAAAAAAAAAAAAACTCCAGTACAGTAATTCAAAGATAAAAATGGGTAAAATTTCCTACTTTTAACAACTGCCACTAAAACAACATCCAGGGCCAATTCTAAGCGCAGTTGCAACATTCTGAAGAATGACAGACTTTCTATAGGTGAATCCATGCAATGCTAATGAAACGAGAACCCATTGGCAAACTTTTCTGTATTAAGTTTAGCATAAAAATAATCTAGCTTCAACTATGCAACTATTGTTTATAATGTCAAGCAGTTTAAGTTTTAGTCTGTTGGAAATGCTCAGCATAACCAGAAGCTTTTCAATATTTATGAAATAAATATTATCATCAAACAACAGGTACTTACTACTGATACGAAGATAACCAAAGGGGTAACAAAATCGACAGAATAAACATCCTCTCCAATTCTCCACTTGTGGACAGCATAAAAAAAATCAATAAACTGAAGCACCAACAGAAGTGCAGACCCAACCTGTAAAAATATCAGAAAATATTAGTAACTCTTCCTCTGAAGAAATGGCCATGAAACTTCCAGGCAGATGTTACTAGCAATTTGTAGTCCCTGTATGCTCTCATGGAAATTTTTAGCTTTCCTTAATTAACTCTCATTTTTTTCCTTGCATTATGTTACTTATCCATCCATACCTATAATTCCTCATACCTCACCTACTGCACATTTCTCTAGCAAGACTAACATCCATCATCCTCTCGACAGATACAGACCACTGGATGGTTATAATTTGTATACATTACGTATTTCATTTGCATTGCCTATTCCTTCATTTTTTACCAGCATGACTTAATTTACTCAGTAGTGTAATTCCTGCAACAGCTTTAGATTTTCCTGTGTAATTTTATGACCATTTTTGACTCGCATACCAGATACAAAGCAAATTGCTGTGGACCCTCCTAGTCTAAGCTTTATGCTACTGAGGAGAAATCTTTTGATGAAAAAAACTTTTCTTATACACATAGTAACTAGACTGTTTAACAGGTTGCCAGTGTCTGCTAAGTCAGGAATCTGTTAATGTTTTCAAGTTTCAATTAAAAGAAATCCTCTTTTCTAGAGTTTATGATTCTGATAAACATACTGTCACTCTTGAATATAAATTTTAGTATTTCTTCTCCAACATTGCTGTTGCAGTTATGGCATGGTGTGCAAGCGATTTAGAGTCATTTAAGGAACAGGTGCTCATGATCAACAAAATCCCAAACTTGAGTCGATGTGGTCAGTCCATCAATCTTGAATAGAATACGGCATATGAGCGGAGAAGCAGCTTATAAACCGTATGGCAGGAGAGGTGCAGCAGTCGTAGTTGGTGTCACATTTGTCCAATGTGGAAGTAGGTTGTGCCCAAGGGTTAGGCAAGCGAAGAAATCCCAAGTATTAAGATCCCAAGTAGTTGCAGTGTCTGACAGGATTGTAGATGAATGGTTCAAAGAACCGACACATTGTTAAATTAGACACATGTGCAACTACTTGGGATCTTAATACTTGGGATTTCTTCGCTTGCCTAACCCTTGGGCACGACCTATTTCCACACTGGACAAATGTGACACCACCTACGACTGCTGCACCTCTCCTGCCATACGTTTTATAAGCTGCTTCTCTGCTCATATGCCATATTCTATTCAAGATTGATGGACTGACCACATCGACTCAAGGTTGAGGGACTGATTACCTCATTCTCCTCCTGTTCCTCTACTTTATCCTTTGTTTGGACTGATGAAGCCACTGTGTGGCGAAACGTTTCCTCAATAAAGATACCCAAGAGTTGCACATGTGTCTAATTTAACAACGTGTCGGTTCTTTGAACCATTCATTTAAAATCCCAACTATGTTAATAAAAATAATTAGAACATATATAGTTTTGGAGTGGTTGGTGCTATTATTTAATAAATGTATGGAAGAGGGTAAGGTACCTAGGGATTGGCAGAGAGCAAGCATAGTTCCTTTGTATAAAGGCAAAGGGGACAAAAGAGTGCAAAAATTATAGGGGGTGCGTTGAGGTATATGTGGAGTCAAAAAACGTTATTTATGGAGGCAAAGAAGGGAATGTATGAAAGTATAGTAGTACCAACAATCTTATATGGATGTGAAGCTTGGGTGGTAAATGCAGCAGCGAGGAGACGGTTGGAGGCAGTGGAGATGTCCTGTCTAAGGGCAATGTGTGGTGTAAATATTATGCAGAAAATTCGGAGTGTGGAAATTAGGAAAAGGTGTGGAGTTAATAAAAGTATTAGTCAGAGGGCAGAAGAGGGGTTGTTGAGGTGGTTTGGTCATTTAGAGAATGGATCAAAGTAGAATGACATGGAAAGCATATAAATCTATAGGGGAAGGAGGGCGGGGTAGGGGTCATCCTCGAAAGGGATGGAGAGGGGGTAAAGGGGGTTTTGTGGGCGAGGGGCTTGGACTTCCAGTAAGCGTGCATGAGCATGTTAGATAGGAGTGAATGGAGACGAATGGTACTTGGGACCTGACGATCTGTTGGAGTGTGAGCAGGGTAATATTTAGTGAAGGGATTCAGGGAAACCGGTTATTTTCATATAGTCGGACTTGAATCCTGGAAATGGGAAGTACAATGCCTGCACTTTAAAGGAGGGGTTTGGGATATTGGCAGTTTGGAGGGATATGTTGTGTATCTTTATACATATATGTTTCTAAACTGTTGTATTCTGAGCACCTCTGCAAAAACAGTGATAATGTGTGGTGAAAGTGTTGAATGTTGATGAAAGTATTTTCTTTTTGGGGATTTTCTTTCTTTTTTTTTTTTGGGGTCACCCTGCCTCGGTGGGAAATGGCCGACTTGTTGAAAAAAAAAAAAAAAAAAAGTCTGTTGAGTATACCTGGTAAAGTGTATGGTAGAGTTATTATTGAAAGAATTAAGAGTAAGACAGAGAATAGGATAGCAGATGAACAAGGAGGCTTTAGGAAAGGTAGGGGGTGTGTGGACCAGGTGTTTACAGTGAAACATACAAGTGAACAGTATTTAGATAAGGCTAAAGAGGTTTTTGTGGAATTTATGGATTTGGAAAAGGCGTATGACAGGGTGGATAGGGGGCAATGTGGCAGATGTTGCAGATGCATGGTATAGGAGGTAGGTTACTGAAAGCAGTGAAGAGTTTTTATGAGGATAGTGAGGCTCAAGTTAGAGCATGTAGGAAAGAGGGAGATTATTTCCCAGTAAAAGTAGGCCTTAGACAAGGATGTGTGATGTCACCGTGGTTGTTTAAATATTTATAGATAGGGTTGTAAGAGAAGTAAATGCGAGGGTCTTGGCAAGAGGTGTGGAGTTAAAAGATAAAGAATCACACATAAAGTGGGAGTTGTCACAGTTACTCTTTGCTGATGACACTGTGCTCTTGGGTGATTCTGAAGAGAAGTTGCAGAGGTTGGTGGATGAATTTGATAGGGTATGTAAAAGAAGAAAATTGAAAGTGAATACAGGAAAGAGTAAGGTTATGAGGATAACAAAAAGATTAGGTGATGAAAGATTGGATATCAGATTGGAGGGAGAGAGTATGGAGGAGGTGAATGTACAGTGGAACCTCAAAAATCGAACTTAATCCGTTCCAGGAGCTAGTTCTAAATTCGAAAAGTCTGAAATTCGAAGCAATATTTCTCATGAGAAATAATAGAAATACAATTAATCCGTTCCAGAAACCCAAAAATATTCACACAAAAAATACATTTTATAGAGATTAATTAGTTTTACATACAACAAATACTATAGTTTTTAATTATGTATAGTAATACATATAAAATAACATTTTTACTTACCTTTATTGAAGATTGGTGATGGCATCTGGAAGATAGGGAGGAGGAGAGGAGGAGTTGGGGTTAGTGTCTGGAAGGAGAATCCCCCTCCATGAGAACTTCAGGTAAAGCCCTCTCTGGGGTTACTTCCCTTCTCTGTCTTTTAATGCCACTAGGACCAGCTTGAGAGTCACTGGACCCCTGTCTCACAAAATAACTGTCCACAGTCCTCTGTTTCTGGAGCCTCTTTAACATTTCCCTAAAATGGGACATGGTTCTGTCACTGAACTTGTTGCAAAGATGGCTTGTTTCAGCTTGCTCAGGGTGGTACTTCTGCACAAACATTTGGACATCATTCCACTTGGCACAAATCTCCTTAATCTTTGAAGAAGGCACCTCATCCACTCCCTATATTAACACCTTTCGCAACATCAGCTTCCTTGATTTGTTCTTTCTTTGACAGGATAGAACCGATGGTCGACTTGTTTTTCCCATACATCCTGGCAAGCTCAACAAGTCTCACACCACTCTCATACTTCTATATTATTTCCTTCTTCACATCTATGGTGTTTCTCACTTTCTTTACCACAGGGGTACCACTAGCAAGTTTCTTTGGGCCAATGGCAGCTTATTTCACAGTCCCACAAGCACTAAACACAACGAAATAATCGTAAAATGCATGAATGAGAGCGCAGGTTAGTGTTCACTCAAGCATAAACAAAGCTAGACTGCTCACGGCGCCTGCGTGGGGATGCGTACAGAGCAGGCGGCAGACAGGTCCCATACCCGGCAGTCCGAAAATAGGGGTGCGTTCGATAATAGGGACACAGTTTGTCCGAAAAAATGGTCCTATTTTCGAAACGTTCGATATGTGATACGTTCGATTTTTGAGGTTCCACTGTATTCAGATATTTGGGAGTGGACGTGTCAGCGGATGGGTCTATGAAAGATGAGGTGAATCACAGAAATGATGAGGGGAAAAGGGTGAGCAGTGCATTTAGGAGTCTGTGGAGACAAAGAAATTTGTCCTTGGAAGCAAAGAGGGGAATGTATGAGAGTATAGTTTTACCAACGCTCCTGTATGGGTGTGAAGCATGCGTGATGAATGTTGCAGCGAGAAGGCTGGAGGCAGTGGAGATGTCATGTCTGAGGGCAATGTGTGGTGTGAATATAATGCAGAGAATTCGTAGTTTGGAAGTTAGGAGGAGGTGCGGGATTACCAAAACTGTGAGCGTGAGCGTGTTTGATAGGAGTGAATGGAGACAAATGGTTTTTAATACTTGAGGTGCTGTTGGAGTGTGAGCAAAGTAACATTTATGAAGGGGTTCAGGGAAACCGGCAGGCCGGACTGAGTCCTGGAGATGGGAAGTACAGTGCCTGCACTCTGAAGGAGGGGTGTTAATGTTGCAGTTTAAAAACTGTAGTGTAAAGCACCCTTTTGGCAAGACAGTGATGGAGTGAATGATGGTGAAAGTTTTTCTTTTTCAGGCCACCCTGCCTTGGTGGGAATTGGCCAGTGTGTTAATAAAAAAACAATAATAATAATACAGTGGAACCTCAGTTTTCGTGATTAATCCGTTCGAAAAAGTCTAACGAAAACCGAATTGTACGAAAACTGAAGCAATGTTTCCCATAAGAAATAATGTAAATCCAATTAATCCATTACAGACACACAAAAATATTCACAAAAAATACATATTTTAAAGAATAACTACAGTTTTACAAACACAAAACAATTATAAATACATATAGTACTTAAATGAGTAAGGAAATAGATAAACATAAATAAACATTTAAAATCACATTTACATACCTTTATTGAGGACTCTTGTTGGTATCTGGAAGATAGAGGAGGAGGAGAGGGAGGACTTATTATTGCCTCAACCACTGCCTCCACCATCTGCACTCAAACAACAATTACAAAACACAATGAATTACATTGTGAAATGTTTGGAGAGCATGCAGGGTAATGTTCACTCAAGGATAAACAAGCAGCCAGACTGACTCACGACGCCAGCGCAGGCAGGCAGACAGGTCTGGTACGCGGGCCGAAACATAGGGCACGGTGCGAAACTCGCGACAAAATTTAGCTGAAAAAAGCAGTCTAAACTCAAAGCTGCCGATGCTCAGGGCGGCTGAAACTCGGGGTTCCACTGTAATCCGTTCCAGACACTCAAAAATATTAACAAAAAATACATTTTTTAAAGAGTAACTATAGTTTTACACAGAAAACAATGAGGAAATAAATATAAATGACTAATGAAATGGATAAATGAACATTTAACATCACTTTTACCTTTATTGAAGACTTCTTGGAGTATGGAAGATGGCAAAGAAGGGCGAGGGAGAAGGAGAGGTTATTATCTGAAAGGGGAATCTCCATCCATAAGGAATTCAGGTATCAAGGCTCTATCCGGGGTTACTTCCCTTCTTTGTCTTTTACTGGCACTAGGACCAGCTTGAGAGTCACTGGACCCCTGGTGCACAAAAAATCTGTCCAGAGGTCTGTTTCTGGAGTCTTAAGATTTGCCTAAAATGGGATAAGGCATTGTCATTGAATATGTTGCAGACATGGCTTGCAACAGCTTTGTTAGGGTGATATTTCTCCACAAAACTTTGCAATTCATTCCACTTTGCACACATGTCCTTAGTCACTGAAGAAGGCACATTCTCCCCTCTCTTCCTCCTCTGAAGCAATTTCCTCAGCTGCAGTCTGTTGCTGTTTCAGTTGAAGGTCTTGCAGCTCCTCTGTGGTTAGTTCTTTCCTGTGGTTGTCCACCAACTCTTCCACATCCTGGCCACTCACATCCAACCCCATGGACTTCCCCAAAGACACAATAGATTCTACAACAGGCGTAGGGTCGTCAGGGTCAGCCTCAAACCCTTCAAAACGCATGGAATGCTTTGTGTGGGTTCTCCATTCCGGGAAATGAGTGGCTGAGTCACATGGGCAGGCGGAAGAGTTTGGTATGGACCATTTTTGACTGTACAAAAACCGAGCGGATGTACGAAAATGGACAAAATTTTGATGAAAAAAGTTGTCAAAAACCAAATCGTATGAAAACTAGGGCATACGAAAACTGAGGTTCCACTGTAATAATAATTAGTAGAATAATAATTAGTAGAATAGTAATTAGAAGAATAATAAAAAGTGTAGTAGTAGTAACAATACAGCCTCACCTCGGTTATCGATTGAGTTCCATTCCTAAGACCATGTTGTTAAACAAATTCACCACTAAGTGAAGAGCATACTATAATGGCAGTGGGTTTGTGTCAACCATCTTTGATATTGTTTTAATGTCATGTTTGCACCATTCATAACATTTCTGGTATAATTTTAAATGTTTATACAGTAGTGTACTGTATATTGAAATAAATAGAAAGGATGAAATCAGCTCTAATATACATTATTTAGGTATAAATACTGGTTAGAGTGTCCGCCGTAAGTCCGAGGCATCAGTAAACAAGTATGTCACTAAGTGAGGAGAGGCTGTAATAACTAACAACAATAATAACAACAATGACTAACAATAACAAATAATAATAATAATAACAGTAATGTTCAATCCACCTCAACAACCCCTCTTCAGCCCTCTGGATACTTTTTGTAACCCCACACCTTCTAGTCTCCAAACTACAAATTCTCTGCATAATATTCACACCATACATTGCCCTCACATGACATTTCCACTACTTCCAACTTCCTCCTCGCTGCACATTTAAAACCCATGCTTCACAACCATATAGGGGTGTTAGTACCACTCTACTATGATACATACCTCAATACACCACCCACCTTTTCCTCTCTCGTCGCTTCTATGGTTCACCTCTTTTTCTTCAATTGTACAACTGTATTAGCATTGAGTACTGAATTTTAAGTATGCTCAAAATAATTTGTTTAACCCGTTTTTTTCAATAGATGTATGAAGCAATATTTGCAAAAGACATAAATGATATCGTATATATTCTTGTAAATAAAATAGTTTGTTTATAACACATTGCCAGGTAGACCACATACAAATACAGTGGTACCCCAAGTTTCGTACAGCTCCCAACTTGAACAATTATGTAAGTGTATTATTGTAAGTGCTTTTGTAAGTGTATTTTTTGGGGGTCTGAAACATGCTAATCTAATTTACATTATTCCTTATGGGAACAAATTCGTTCAGTAACGGCACTTGAACAGCCTTCTGGAACGAATTATGTATGAAACTCAGGGTACCACTGTACTGAATCCAAAGATACTGTGAAACATAGCTGCTAGAAATGCCTAACTAAGTACTGCATGTAACATAATCTAAAAGCTTAAATTAATGCCAAGATATGTACAGGACATATTACCTACTATTATAATGAATCATTTCCACTTACTAGTTTAGAGATGTTGAGCCATGTCCATGGCACTAGCTTATTCACACTACAGAGAATATAATGTGTCTGCAATGGTGCAAATAACCATAAAAATCCACAAGGCACCCACACCAGCACTGTCCTCTCAAAACAACGTGTCAGCTCTGGAGTTTCAGCATTCCACGTAAGGTTGGTATCCTAAAATAAATTATAATAATTACTGAGCACATATACCTCTGCTATTTATTGTGTAAAGGATAGGATATGAGTACTCATTACAGTGCATTATTATTATTATTATTACTATTAGAATTATTATATTCATGGAGGGAGCACTAAGCCCAGGAGCTCATGATCCAGATTCTTAAATCATGAGCTGCTTATCAGCAAACAAACTATCCTAACACCTAGCAACAGTACCTAAGTACAGTGAACCCTCAATTTTGCAGAATAATAGAGAGGAAGGGGCATCCATTAAAACTGATTGTTCATTATATCCAAATGAATGGAATATTTTTCAATGATTATAATCTTAAGGGACAAATCTGGGTTTTATGGACTTGGTTTGTTAAATTCAACAACAAATTTACCCCACAGACCACAATAACGGATCATTCTGGATATAACAGCTTGTCCACTAAATCCAAAATTCTCCACAATTGCAGGGTATTCTGATTCAATGGACAAAAAGTCCATTAAATATCTCACATTTAATAGTATATCGTATTGAACAGACTTTGATAAATATAAATTCATCTTACCCAGGAGATTGTGAAAATAATGGACAAGTCTGGATTTAGACTTTGTCCATTGTTTTCGGATGTCTACCCACAAATTTTGTCTTAAATCCAAAATCCATTAAACCCAGTTCTGTTAAACTGAGGTTTTGTTGTACATATTATATCCACTGGGAGAGTACTAAACCCATAGGGGTCAAAGAGCACCAGGGAAAAGGAAAAGAGTGGGTAGTTCCTATTACCTGGATCACTGGAATTAAGGCATCTTCCTTGAAGGGCCCTAGGAACATTAAAAAGTCATAAATTTTCCCATTTACAGGCAAGAGACAAAACATACACTAACCACAACTGTTATATTATTGATACATTCAAAAACAAGTGCCAAATCCATGCAAGTCATCCAGACCCTATGGAAATGGGAGGCAATCAAGTTCAATCCGAGAAAGGGAAGGTACAGTTCAATGCCTTGGATTAACAGCTTCACAGCAGCACCATAGAACCTCTCTTGAGAGGAATGAAACAGAAGCCATCCCCACACACACTACGGAACCCACACCTAGTCAAGAGTATCAAGAAATTGGAGACCATGCACAGGTTTATACCTGGTAGTATACCCGGAGAGAATTCCAGGGGTCAACACCCCTGCAGCCCCGTCTGTCACCAGGCCTCATGGTGGATCAGGGCTTGATCAACCAGGCTGTTCCTGTTGGCTGCACGCAACCCGACGTACGAACCAAAGCCCGGCTGTCAGGTACTGACTTTAGGTGCCTGTCCAGTGCCTCCTTGAAGACAGCCAGGGGTCTATTGGTAATCTTATCATGCCAGTGGCACCCCTACTTTTCATTGGGGGAATGTGGCATCATCTGTCAAGTCTTTTGCTGTCATGGGGAGTGATTTTCGTGTGCAAGTTTGGTACTAATCCCTCTAGGATTTTCCAAGTGTATATAATCATGTATCTCTCCCACCTGCACTCTAGGGAGTACAGGTTGAGGAACTTCAAGCATTCCAGTAATTGAGGTGTTTTATCGCAGTTATGTGAGCTGTGAAAATCACCAATTTGACCTGCCTTGAAAGGTGCTGTTAGTGTACAGCAATATTCCAGCCTAGAGAGAACAAGCGATCTGAAGTGTCATCATGGGCTTGGCATCCCTAGGTTTGAAGGTTCTCATTACCCATCCTGTCATTCTTCTAGCAGATACAATTGATACAATGTTATGGTCTTTGAAGGTGAGATCTGACATGATCACTCACAGGTCTTTCACAATAGTTTTTTGCTCTATTGTATGGTTGGAATTTCTTTTATACACCGGTGTAGTTTTAATTTCCTCACGTTTTCTATATCAAAGTAATTGAAATTTCTAATTGTTAAACTTCATATTGTTTTCTGCAGCCCATTTAAAGATTTGGTAGATGTCCACCTGGAGTCTTGCGGTGTCTGCAATGGAGGACACTGTCATGCAAATTCGGGTGTCATCTGCAAAGGAAGACATAGCGGTGTTTACCTGGAGTTTACCTGGAGAGAGTTCCGGGGGTCAACGCCCCCGCGGCCCGGTCTGTGACCAGGCCTCCTGGTGGATCAGAGCCTGATCAACCAGGCTGTTACTGCTGGCTGCACACAAACCAACGTACGAGCCACAGCCCGGCTGGTCAGGAACCGACTTTAGGTGCTTGTCCAGTGCCAGCTTGAAGACTGCCAGGGGTCTGTTGGTAATCCCCCTTATGTATGCTGGGAGGCAGTTGAACAGTCTCGGGCCCCTAACACTTATTGTTTTCTTATTTTTTATTATCACACTGGCCAATTCCCACCAAGGCAGGGTGGCCCAAACAAGAAAAACTTTCACCATAATTCACTCCACTGTCTTGCCAGAAGGGTGCTTTACACTACAGTTTTTAAACTGCAACATTAACACCCCTCCTTCAGAGTGCAGGCACTGTACTTCCCATCTCCAGGACTCAAGTCCGGCCTGCCGGTTTCCCTGAACCCCTTCATAAATGTTACTTTGCTCACACTCCAACAGCACGTCAAGTATTAAAAACCATTTGTCTCCATTCACTCCTATCAAACACGCTCATGCATGCCTGCTGGAAGTCCAAGCCCCTCGCACACAAAACCTCCTTTACCCCCTCCCTCCAACCTTTCCTAGGCCGACCCCTACCCCGCCTTCCTCCCACTACAGACTGATACACTCTTGAAGTCATTCTGTTTCGCTCCATTCTCTCTACATGTCCGAACCACCTCAACAACCCTTCCTCAGCCCTCTGGACAACAGTTTTGGTAATCCCGCACCTCCTCCTCACTTCCAAACTACAAATTCTCTGCATTATATTCGCACCACACATTGCCCTCAGACATGACATCTCCACTGCCTCCAGCCTTCTCCTCGCTGCAACATTCATCACCCATGCTTCACACCCATATAAGAGCATTGGTAAAACTATACTCTCATACATTCCACTCTTTGCCTCCAAGGACAAAGTTCTTTGTCTCCACAGACTCCTAAGTGCACCACTCACCCTTTTCCCCTCATCAATTCTATGATTCACCTCATCTTTCATAGACCCATCCGCTGACACGTCCACTCCCAAATATCTAAATACATTCACCTCCTCCATACCCTCTCCCTCCAATCTGATATCCAATCTTGCATCACCTAATCTTTTTGTAATCCTCATAACCTTACTCTTTCCTGTATTCACTTTTAATTTTCTTCTTTTGCATACCCTACCCAATTCATCCACCAATCTCTGCAACTTCTCTTCAGAATCTCCCAAGAGCACAGTGTCATCAGCAAAGAGCAACTGTGACAACTCCCACTTTACGTGTGATTCTTTATCTTTTAACTCCACACCTCTTGCCAAGACCCTCGCATTTACTTCTCTTACAACCCCACCTATAAATATATTAAACAACCACGGTGACATCACACATCCTTGTCTAAGGCCTACTTTTATTGGGAAATAATTTCCCTCTTTCCTGCATACTCTAACTTGAGCCTCACTAACCTCGTAAAAACTCTTCACTGCTTTCAGTAACCTACCTCCTACACCATACACCTGCAACATCTGCCACATTGCCCCCCTATCCACCCTGTCATACGCCTTTTCCAAATCCATAAATGCCACAAAGACCTCTTTAGCCTTATCTAAATACTGTTCACTTATGTGTTTCACTGTAAACACCTGGTCCACACACCCCCTACCTTTCCTAAAGCCTCCTTGTTCATCTGCTATCCTATTCTCCGTCTTACTCTTAATTCTTTCAATAATAACTCTACCATACACTTTACCAGGTATACTCAACAGACTTATCCCCCTATAATTTTTGCACTCTCTTTTGTCCCCTTTGCCTTTATACAAAGGAACTATGCATGCTCTCTGCCAATCCCTAGGTACCTTACCCTCTTCCATACATTTATTAAATAATTGCACCAACCACTCCAAAACTATATCCCCACCTGCTTTTAACATTTCTATCTTTATCCCATCAATCCCCTCTGCCTTACCTGGAGAGTTTGCCTGGAGAGAGTTCCGGGGGTCAACGCCCCCGCGGCCCGGTCTGTGACCAGGCCTCCTTAGGTCAGTGTCCCAGGATGCGACCCACACCAGTCGACTAACACCCAGGTACCCATTTTACTGATGGGGAACATAGACAACAGGTGGAAAGAAACACGTCCAATGTTTCTACTCTGGCTGGGAATTGAACCCAGGCCCTCACCGTGTGAAGCGAGAGCGTTAACCACCAGGCCACCGGAGCCCCTTACCCCGTTTCATTTTACCTACTGCCTCACGAACTTCCCCCACACTCACAACTGGCTCTTCCTCACTCCTACAAGATGTTATTCCTCCTTGCCCTATACACAAAATCACAGCTTCCCTATCTTCATCAACATTTAACAATTCCTCAAAATATTCCCTCCATCTTCCCAATACCTCTAACTCTCCATTTAATAACTCTCCTCTCCTATTTTTAACTGACAAATCCATTTGTTCTCTAGGCTTCCTTAACTTGTTAATCTCACTCCAAAACTTTTTCTTATTTTCAACAAAATTTGTTGATAACATCTCACCCACTCTCTCATTTGCTCTCTTTTTACAATGCTTCACCACTCTCTTAACCTCTCACTTTTTCTCCATATACTCTTCCCTCCTTGCATAACTTCTACTTTGTAAAAACTTCTCATATGCTAACTTTTTCTCCCTTACTACTCTCTTTACATCATCATTCCACCAATCGCTCCTCTTCCCTCCCGCACCCACCTTCCTGTAACCACAAACTTCTGCTGAACACTCTAACACTACATTTTTAAACCTACCCCATACCTCTTCGACCCCATTGCCTATGCTCTCATTAGCTCATCTATCCTCCAATAGCTGTTTATATCTTACCTTAACTGCCTCCTCTTTTAGTTTATAAACCTTCACCTCTCTCTTCCCTGATGCTTCTATTCTCCTTGTATCCCA